TATATATATATATATATATATATATATATATATATATATATTTCCAATTTTATAAAAATTCCAAAACTATGAAGGCTTGTGAGTTTTCTTTTTAATTGTGGAAATGATTCATAAAGTATCCTATTATTAAGTGATAAAGCATAAAGTTAAAAATTAGGCCAGTTTGTTGGATATGTAACTGAATTTTAAAATGAAAATAAATACTTCCATTTACTTTGACTTTATTTCTTTAATTTTTATAATCAAGTTGACTCATATTTCTTCTCAGCAACTTGAGGTATTTCCCCCCAAAAAAACATTTAGTGCGTTTGAGAAAAAGATCACACCCTAAGACAGGAAGTGAGCTAAAAGAAGGGGCTAACACTCTACTAGCATGATGTAAACAAGTTTTACTCCTTGTGTTAGTACTATGCTAACATATTATGCATGTTGACAAAAGAAATGACTAAAACTGCTAAACATAGCCATTTCTTGTTGTTAGTACAACAACCAAAAAACTTCAGTTTTATGTTAGTTTTGACTGAAGCTTAGAGCCGCTGCAGAGGAACCAAAGGGCCGCATGTGGCTCCAGAGCCGCAGATTGCAGACCCCAATTCATGAGTCAAAAATTAAAGCGTAATGTCATACAAAAACAACACATTCCATATATTTTAAAGAAAAAATTAAATAAGAAAACTTAAAAAAATATATAAAACCTGCTGTCTTTAGGATGAATTCATGCACCCATCTTTTAATTTGATCTTTTGTGAGACTCCTGATCTCAACATTTGACGGTGTTTGTGTGTTCACAGATTCCTTGTAGCCACAAATTTGGAGCCGACAAACGCGAGAAGTCTGTTTCCTTGTTTCGATGAGCCGGACATGAAGGCGGTTTTCACTTTGACAGTCATCCACAGGCCTGAAACGACGGCTCTGTCAAACTCAGAGGCGGAAAGTAAGAAACAAAGCAAATAGGAGTCGTGTCAATTTGTGCTTTAGCTTATGGCTAAATGTAACATTCTGAATTATTTTGTTCTTTATCACTTTGTCTCCCAGAGAAAAATCAGTTTATAGATGATGAATGGGTATACACTCAATTTCGCTCCTCGCCGAAGATGTCGAGCTACTTGTTGGCTTTCACGGTTTCAGAGTTCAAAACCTTATCGCCAAGTAGAGATTACATAAAAGTAAGTCGACCAGTTTAGAAGCATTTTGGTCCGCAGATTTTTAAATGTAAAAGCATTCCTAAATTGACATTTTAAGCAAAAGTTAAAATACAGTTTTACCACCAAAAGTGTAAAATCATTTGTTCTGTTATCTTACAAACACATTTACCATGTTGTTCGCATGCTATGTGCAAAATCATGTGAGCATGTGATTACAAAATCACACAAGAAGTTTATGTTAAAATATTATTAATAGGAATAATTCTGTTTTTTCTTGTGCAGGTTTATGCCCGTCCTGAAGCCGTCGAAGCAGGCCATGCTAAATATGCTACAGAAATTACCCCAAAGATCCTGACCTTCTACGAAAATCTCTTTGATCTTGAATTACGTCCAAAGAAACTCCGTAAGGACTTGTCTGAATTTATTGTTAAATGTCAGATTTGAAATGAAAGATGGGGTTTAACTTTGTAGATGTATTTTTTTTTTTATCTTTAGCAATGTGGATTTAGACAAATCATAGATTAGCTATTGGTGATGAGCTGTATGGTTAATGTTTGTCACTCAGCGGTCAAACAAAGGCAACAGAAACCTGGTCTCGTTTCTAGATTTGATTTGAAGCTTCAAGGTTTTCCCCACAGGCTGGTTCTGTCATGACAGTTGACACAGCTGTGAAGGAAAATCAACTAATTAGACTTGACTTACTCCATCAAGATGCCAGACATATCGTAAATCTGTACCATAGTCTGTAACTTGTGACCCGACAAAGCTTCAGGACCACAAACAGTTTTTACACGTTTTTATTTTTAAGATTTGACTGTTTTGAACAGTAGAAATAGATGATTATTCACAAAACCCTCCACAGTGTCCACATTCAAAACAACCTTTTTTATTTCATTATCACTCACTGCCATGAAAGGTAGGCGATCGTGTTTTTGCATTTGCGTTTGTTAGCGAAATATCTCATGAACCAGTGAACAGATTTTAACGAAAGCATCAAAAAGTAATCGATGGACCTACAGCTGGTCAACTTTTGGATTTGGGATTGCTGCCATGGCCAGACAACCTAAGAGAAAACAGGAATGAGTATTGCTCAACAAAGTCCATGCTCAATAATCCAGGTGTACAATCCAACAATTTTCAGTCAGGTCATCTGGACAGTTTTTTTTTTTTTTTTGTGCTGAAATGTTTCACCTTCCATCCAGAAGGCTTTATCAGTCAAGGAAACACACAACTGATTCTTCCCCCAACAGCTTACTCTAAAGTGGAACAAACCAGTTATGTTGGTGCTAAGATGGTCTTTTTTGGTATGCCCCCTCCTCCAGTGCTGGCCCTCTCTCTCGTCGAAAGTCATGTCAAACTGGTTCAAAACCAACAAAGTCCATGCTCAATAATCCAGGTATACAATCCAACAATTTTCAGTCAGGTCATCTGGACAGTTTCTTCATGGACTTTGTTGGTTTTGAACCAGTTTGACATGACTGTCGACGAGAGAGAGGGCCGGCACCAGAGGAGGGGGAGTGCCAAAAAAGACCATCTTAGCACCAACATAACTGGTTTTGGAGTAAGCTGTTGGGGGAAGAATCAATTTTGTGTTGTGTGTTTCCTTGACTGATGAAGCCTTCTGGATGGAAGGTGAAACATTTCAGCACACACACAAAAAAAAACTGTCCAGATGACCTGATTGAAAATTGTTGGGGAGTATTGGTCAAGTTCAGAATCTTTATTATCCCTAAGGGGCAGTTTGTTTCACAGTCAGAAAGTACATAAAACATCCACACTACTAGATGAGACTTTAAAATAACAGTACAGAAATCATCACTGTTTGTTGAGAAGCCTGACCGCTACAGGGATGAATGAGTTTTTCAGTCTGTTCGTCCAACATCTGGGCAGCAGATACCTGCGTCCAGATGGAAGCAACCTGAACTCATCATGGAGTGGATGATCGGGATCTGCCAGAATAAGCCCGGCTTTGTTCACTGACCTCATCTTGTGTAGTAGGTCCATGAGGTTTTAAAGGCAGCAGTTCTGCTGCACATCCTGTCAATCCCTGAGTTTGTTCCTGTTTTTACACGTTAACAGTCCCAACTCAACAGATGAAGGTGAAAGTTAAAAGAGACTCAATAAAACATCCTCATAAAAGTCGAATCAACATTAAAATCACAGAGCTTCCGATAAAAATACACTCTCTGGTGGGGCTGTTTATAAAGTGAGTTCACATTTGCGTTAAAGATCAGTTTGTCATTGAGAACTGTTCCCAGATATTTATATTGCTGCACCACCTCAACAGTTTCACCGTTAATGACCACAGGAGCGGCAACTGAAGAGTCTTTTCTGAAATCACTGATCATCCCCTTTGTCTTCGAAACATTTAACTTTAAAAAGGAAAGATCTGACAATTTAACAGATGTTTAGCTACGATTTGGTGTAGTAGTAGCTGAGAGTCATCCCCAACCATACAGTCTGTTTAAAACCTTAGCATGCAAGGATGTGGGCAATGCACATTTCTTCAAAGAATGCTAGCTTATTTAATTTTGTTTTAAATTCTGACTTCATTCATTCATTCATTCATTTGTTTGTATTTTTGTGTGTTAAAAACCAAACAAAAGGAACACGAGATACATTCGGAATCAGCTTTTTAACTCCGGTCCTCCTTAGAGTTGTTTACATTTTTCCAAACACATTTGGTAAAAGAAAACCTGTTTGATAAAATTAAAATGCATCCATAATCCTTTCTGTGGTTCACGACATGAGAAATAAAAAAAAATAAAAAATATATATATTTCTGAACAGTAAAAGTGCCAAAGCAGACTGATCTGTCCGTGTTGAATAACTGGATCATTTGTTCATATCTTTAGATCAAATTGCTCTCCCAGACCTGGAACCTTTGGCTATGGAGAACTGGGGCCTGATCACGTACCAGGAAGGAGTTTTGCTCTATGAGGAAGGAGTGTCGTCGTTATTACACAAGGAAGAGATCATTTTTACCATTGCACACGAGCTGGCTCACCAGGTAACAGGAAACAAATAAATCGTCTGCTTCCTGAAATGAAGCGAGTATGAGACGTCGGATAAAGTTCAATGGATCACAAATCTGATGTTGCAATATAAAAACAATTAAATAAAAAAAAGCAAGTACTTTATTTACTTGGAGATCTTTATCCTGCTGCACACGGTGATGATTCTGTTCTTCTCTAACAGTGGTTTGGAAATATGGTGACGATGAAATGGTGGAACGACCTTTGGCTGAAGGAGGGCTTTTCCTCCTACATGTCATACCTGGCAGTGGATCACGCTGAGCCCACGTTCCAGATAGTAAGTTCAGATTAACAAGGTTCTCCCAACAGCACCCGAGTCAAGACTGCGTGACAGATTTACTTTAACGAGACCTTTATAGGTCCAGTGTTTTATGGTGCAACCTGATAGAATTTTCTTTCTTTTCTTTGTTGTTTGTGACACGTTTATTGTGAATTTATAATCTTTATAGCTATTATTACTTGACCTTGGTTTGTTTTGGAAAGTTAAGTTAGCTAATGATGATTAGGCTCCACCGGGTCATTATTTTTGATATGCAAATATGTAAATGGAGCCTGTTCACAATAAAAGTCACCTCAGATTCAAATAAAATCACAGTCAGTTCATTCCATTTATTATAATATGATGCATTCACATTCAGTACATCATGAAAATCCAATTAGAAAAAGTGATTTATCCATGGAAACCAGCTGACTGAGTCGAATGTCCACTTCTGTCGTAATCCTCCATTTTGAGGAGCACGTTGGCGACAGTGGAAAGGAATGACTCACTTTTAACAGGAAGAAATGTCAAGCAGAACCAGGTTCAGGATGGGACTGGCTGGGGTCTGAGAGAACAGGAAACAGACGCAAACAGGAAGTGGTCCAGGTGTGGTTTCTACGGGAGGAAAAACAGGTTAATGAGGGCAATAAGAGCAAATACAAACACAGACAGCAGAGAGAGTAAAGACGGCAGCAAAGTATGGAGATGTGGTCAATTTGCAGCAGTTGAAGCCTATAGCAGCAGAACTAAGGGATAGCTCAGGAATCTGAAGCCAACCCTAACCATAGGATTTATTTAAAAGGAAACTCTTAAGCTTAGTCTAAAAAGTGGAAGTTGGTTCCTTGAAAACGGAGCCTGAAAACTGAAAGCTCTGCCGTTCATTCTATTTTTGGAAACTCTAGTAACCACAAGTAAACCAGCAGTCTGAGAGGGAAATGCTCTGTTTGGGAAATATGAAACAACAAGATCTTTAATTAAAGTGAAGCTTGCTTGTTGGAAGCTTTGCATGGTAAAATGTGTGTTGTTTATAGATGTCGTCTTTGTGAATTCATCTTACTAATGTCATTGTAAGGTCTACTGTTTACTGGTTATTTTACCTTTTACAAAAGAGGCTCCTTTTACTTTGGACTGATAAGGACTCTCAGGTATTTAACCTTTAGTCAGGATCTGATCACTTTTACAGACTTTGACCCCTCAACATGTTAGAACTGAAGAATCTTCTTCAAACGCCCACAAGCGAATGAATGATTATTTCCAACATGGGTATGAGTGTCGCCAAAAATATGTCTCATGCCTGTGTGTCCATATTAATGTGAGTTATCTGTTTACTGACACTGGAACACCATCATACACGTAGTTCCCCGATGTATTATTCTGCTCTGAGCTTTTCAGGCCTCACCGGTGGTACAAAAACAGGGTCAAATCGATTTTACCTGCTCAATTAAAGATGAAACTAATCCAAAATAAGTCATTATTGATCGTACTTGCTAGAATATTTGTTATAAACTTGTTTTTTTTTTTGTTGATTTTTTTTTTTTTTAGAAAGACACGTTAATTATGAACGACCTCCACACGGCTTTCGAGGAGGATGCTCTGACCTCATCTCATCCTCTCAGCGCTCCGATGGATCAAGTTCAGACACAGTCGCAGATCTACGAGATGTTTGATGCTATAACTTACTGCAAGGTGAAGTGGCAAAGCAGTGAATACCCATTATGCCTTTGGGTCCACAGGAATTGGGAACCTCTGTCTTGTCGAAGCTCCAAAATTCACAGTTGAAACCCGTGCCTTTGTGTAAAAAGTTGTTTTTCCTTCACAAAAAGAAGCTGAGAACTTGTTTACTGATTTTTTAAAATTAAAAGCTTTGTGTGAAAATGCTACGCTAAAGAGCTCAAATCACACCATCCGCCATTTTGAGAACCAAAAAAAAAAAAGGAAGGAGAGACAGCCCATGTCACGTCAAGTGGCCTCCCTCCCATTTTTCTTAAAGAGACTCGCTCCCTCACTATCCATCCTTTGGTTCAAACAGTCTTATACTGCCATCCGTTGGTCAAAAAAAGGTACTACACTCAAAACAAATTAACCAACATTTCTTCTTAAATTTGACAATAATTACTAATTATTGTCAAATTTCAAACAGTATTGTTGTTTATCGCAATAATTTCTGAGACAATCACCCAGCAAATTTGTTATAATGACAGGCCTACTCATATTGCATAATTGCATAAGCTATGTTATTTTTTTTATGATGCAGTCAAATCAGGATAAATGTGACATCCTCACCATTTAGCACTAGCAAGATTTTGTCTGAATATTGTAAATTAAAAAAAAAAATCCTTTGTCTGAATCAGCAACAATACCTTCTTTTATTCTTGAAATAAAAAAGCTCCTAAGATATTTAGACTGAAGATGCTCCACATGCTGTATGAAACCTTCAGGATGTCAAGGGAGCTTCTAATTATTGATGTTCAACCTCAAACTGTTCGTATATGTTTTGTTCTTTTAAAAAGTGTACAAGTAAACTTGAAAATGTCCGTTTTAGTGGAATTCTTCTAATGTGTACTTCTCCACGTTTCTTGGAGAAGCTTGGACTCAAGTTTTTCACGTGAGAGCACGAGTTCTGTTTATAATTATAATGTGATTTGTATCCACACCGTAGGGGGCCATCGTCCTGAGAATGCTGGTCGACTTTGTGGGAGAACAAGTTTTCACCAAAGGGATCAGAGTAAGAAACAGTTTCTAAATCCACGCAGAGAGCTTGATATTGAGCTGCAGTCTCCGACATGTCCGTGCAGAAATTCCCTGTGATCCAGGACTAAAGCTGACCTCCTAACGCCGACTCTCTGTTTAGAGCTAAAGTCTGTTTTCATGCCAGGACTGAAAATATGAGAAAATGCATGCCTTTCAAACTAAATTGCTGTGTGACATGAGTTACATCATGGGTGGAGAAGACAATTCTCACAAACGTCAAATATTATTCTTTATGACATTCAAACGTCCATTTAGAGTTCTTTTGATCATCTGTATGTCTGCTTCCGTTCTGCAACCAAAGTCTGCAGAACATCTGGTCACACCTCATGGACGGCTGAGGAGGAGCTAAAAGGAGATGATGTTTTAGCTACAACTGGTGCCAAACATGTCAGAACTGCTTAACCTCAAAACTCAATGAACTCCCAGACAAAAAACAAGTTACAAGTTTCACTTCTGTTAGTCTTAGCTATTAGCTAATTTTAGCTTAGCTATAATTTTAGCAATTTTGCTCATTTATTTGTAAGCTACATTTTTGCTCAATTGTTAGATATGATATTGCTGATTTTAGATTTAGTTAGATACAAGTTATGTTAGGTACAATTTTGTTAATTTTAGCTTTAGAAACAGTTTTGTTAAATTTAGCCTTTGGCTATGCTTTAAGCTATGTTACTTTGCTAAATATACCTTTTCGGCACAGTTTTGCTAAAGTTAGCTAGCTTTATGCTTTTTAAGATGTTTTGATTATTTTACCTTCTAGATATATTCAAAGTTTAGTTATAGGCTAAGGTTTTGCTTATTGTAGCCGTTAGTTTTGCTTCCCCCCATTTTAGCTCTCAGACAATTTTTTAGCTCGAAGCTAAGGTTTTGCTCATGTTATCTGTTAGGTGCATTTTTGTTAATTTTAGCTTTTAGATATGATTTTGTTCATTTTCGCTTCAAGGGACGTGTAGCCTATTGATTATTTTAGCTTTTAGCTAAGGTTTTGCTGATTTTAGCTTCAGCTCTGATTGTTTTAACTCAGCAATTTGTTTCAACAAACTTCGGCACATTTTTTCAGCACTCAGAGGTTATGCTGAATTTTTACAGAAAATACAATTTCTTTGCTTGTATTTGAAAAGTTTATTTTATAGATGTGCTGAAAAAAATAGTTTCTTTACCATCAGACACAAGGAGACTCACAAGTTTATTATTTTAATCTATTCTAAAGAAAATGTACCGTTTCAGTGCCAGTATTCACACAACAATGTTCATCTTGAATTGAAATTAAACCACAATCTTGTTTTGTGTTTTTCTGTTTAGCAATACCTCAATGAGTTCAATGGACAAAATGCAGAACCGAGCGACTTCTGGAAATACATAAACTTTGTAAAATCTCCACTTTACACAGCATTTTGACAGATACAGTCAGTGATAATTACGTATGAGCCAGACTTTATAGGTTAACGTACGGTATCTGTGGATTTCTTTTCGCAGGTGCGACAGGAAAAAGGGGAAGTGACCATTGATAGGTTCATGATAGACTGGACCACACAAACTGGCTATCCTGTCATCACCATCAACACCACCAGTGGAGAAATCTACCAGAAGCGCTTCCTGTACAACAGCTCTGCCCAGTCAGAGTACGTATTAGTAATCACTATCTTACCTGCAGTAGACAAGTCTGAGATCGTCTCAGTGAATTGAAGTCAAGAGTTCCTCGTCACCAACATTCATCAGGCTCTTCATGCACTCATTAAAAACCTTAGGGAGCCATTATCATCATCCAGAAATGCTCCCATTCTCCAATTTAACTGTATTTTGCTTTCCCTGTTTACTCATCACAGCTTTAGGCAAAGTTTTATATAACTATTTAATATACAGGTGTTAAAACTGGAAGAAAAAAAAAAAAAGAAATAAGAACCAGTATCCACCAGGTTGACAACATCATTTAAATTGTTGCTTTATCACTACACTGGTTTGCCAGCGTATTTTTTCAATGTTATTTAACTTTGGTGCAACAATTAATGCAAATTCAATATAAACCTGTATATATATATATATTGTAGGTTTTACACTGTGGCTGTGACTTTTTATTTTTTATCCTGCCAGATCCAGGAAAGGAATTACAAAATCACAATACAGATACATGTTTCTTTCCGTTTTGGACTTTGAAACAAAGAAAGTAACTTTTTGTTTTTAGTTTCCTGCCTGGCCTGCATGAAATCACTGCTGCTGATTAGACGTTGGCCCTGCAGAGTGTTTTCAGGCAATGTTTTCTAACTCCGTACGTCACGAAACAGCTGTGGAAAAGTGCTCAATTGTTTTAACATCTTCAGCTTAATCATCCAAACCCCCACAGCTGGGACTCAGGAGAACCTGACACAATGTTGTACAAAATCTGGTCACTTTGAGGCAGATTATGGTTCTTTATTTGTTTGCAGGCTGCTGTCATTTTGGCATTTATTTAAAACCATTTAAAAAAAAAAAGGGCAAACATTCAGTGCCGTTTCTAGGTGGAAAACACCTTCTCGAGGTTATAACGTTTTGTTTCTTCCTCGTGTAGTGGTTCATGGCTCATCCACATCCACTACATGTCAAGCATCGCTCCTCCTGAGTCTCTTTGGCTGGATGTCAGCGGTCCAGGTAACACGCAGGAATACACACAGCTTCGCAATTTATGCAAAGTTTACCAACAACAACAAAACTGAACAAACCCAACAGCTTTGTTTTTCATATTCAAGAAAAAAACAGTTTATCCTTCAGCTTCTGATTATTTACAGATTCTTTTTAGGCAAACTTGTTTTCATATTAGATATTAGACATCTAGAAGCAGTTAAACGTTGAGTTTAAATAAAAAAAAAAACAAGACTTTTTTTGGTAAAGACGTTGTGGATCGAAATGGGCTCCAACTGTCTACTAATTATAATCATTAGATTCCATTTTAGATGAATAAATTATCCATTCATTTATCTGTTTCTTGATCTATTTTTTCCTTTGCCTTCTTTCTTGCCCTCGCAAACCGACGCACAAGAAGCACACAGATGAAAAAGAATGTGCAAAGTTGATCAATAAGAAACACAGAATGAAAGACAAACATGTAAAAGCATTTCAGAGAATCAGAAAGCAGATCAAGCGCGAGAACCAAAGCTTATTTAACGCTGCTGAATCAGCAGTAAAATGAGCACGAAGATGCAGAAAAAGCTACATTTATTGTTCCAGAGAGGCATGGAGCAGCTTCAGAGGTATGCAAAACAACGAAGAGACACTGGAGTGAAAAACACAAGTCAAGCCTTAAGAAAGGATAAACAACTGGACAGAGTACATCTGCTTTAGGTTTGCCTGTTTTTGTGTAGGAGGCTGGGGGCGAGTTTAGAACATTGTAACCAGAGGTCCATCATCATCCAGTGAAAGACAAAGACTCGCTTATTTCGCTTTGTTTTAAATTTGAATTTTTCTTTATAGCTTTGTGTTTCGCAGTGACTACAAATGTTTTCCCACAAATCTTTGTCTTTGGAACAGTGAGGCTAGAGCCGTTCATTTCTAAGAAAGGGGAGTGGATCCTGGTCAATGTCAACTGCACTGGATACTACCGGGTCAATTACAACCCAGAGAACTGGCATCGTCTCCTGACTCAGCTGGAAACAGACCCAGATGTGAGTAAACGGGGGCAGAGTGTGAGTTAGTAGATGGCAAAGCAGCACACAAACCAAACCTTTGCACACTCTGTAGGAAACGCTAAAATCAAGACGAGCTGTAGATATTTTGTGTGTATAAAATCACAGCATCTGCTCGTACAAAATGAGTTCTTGTGTTAAATACTCTGGAAATGATACCCTTTAAAATGTTTTTACTCGTTTCTTTTTATTACCTTTGAAATTGAATTGACATGGACTTAAAAAAAAGAAGAGAAAATTTGTAATCCAGACATACACTGAAGGTTCAGATCTGAACAATGTCTTCTGGACGTTTTTTTTTTGTTTTTTTTTTTTTCTGAGCCGTTTCGTCCTTAATCCAAAGGATTTCTTCAGTCTGAGGAGCCACAAACAAGCAAACCTTAGAGGAGTTGAGGGGGGACAGGGCAGGCCCCAGAAACCATCTTCTCACCAGCAAACTGTTTTTTTCCCACCATGGAAGTGTGGGATTCCAGTTTGTTTGTGGCTCCTCAGACTGAAGAAGTCCTTTGGATGAAGGACGAAAAATCTCAGCCCAAAAAATAAAATAAAATAAAATAAACCATCCAGATGACCTGACTGAACATTGTTGGATTTCATCTGGATTACTGAGCATGAACTTTGGTGTTCAGGCCTGGATTATCTATTTAAACTCCACTTCTGTTGCTTTAAGTAATTTGGGTCATTACAAAGAACATCTAAACACATGAAAAGTCAAAAGTGAATGCATTTTGTCCCTGTAATCCGGAGTTAAATCATTTAAACAAAACTTTTTCTAAGGTCTCGTAATCCTGAAGAGCTCGTGTCCAAAACACAGAAACCAAACAAGCTCTCAGCTGAACTTTAGAGTGTTACGAAACCAAACAAACCTCCTGAGGTCTGAATCTGGTGCTTGTATCAAGCGCCTCGTCAGCGTGTGTAAAACAGAGCATGTTTATGGGTTGTTTACGTGGTTTCAAGTGCAAAGTCCTTCAAGGAAGTACATGGCGAAAAAGAATCACAGCTTTATTTCTTTAGACTAACGTGACTTCTTATTTCCTTATTACTGGTACACGTCTTTTCTTTTAGGACTACCATCATTCTTATTAGATATAAACTTCTGAAAGATCATAAAAAAGTGTGTAATGGTATTAAACAGAACAACCTGTACAATGTTTATAAGCTAATTTTGATTAGAGAACTATGTTAATAACTCCGCAGGGGAAATTGTTTCAAACCGAGACCAAAAAAAGTTATCATCAAGAAACTCAACAAAATAATAAAATAACTTAAGAATGACCCAGTGGTGAGGAATCACAGTGATTAAGATGACTTCCTTTGATTTCCTGTAAAACAATACAACCGAGCCTCATGGGAGTACAGAATTTGTGTGGGTGGAGCCTGAGAAGCTCAGTGGGTGGAGCCTAACAAGCCAAATAATCTGACCAATCAGAGGAGGGTGAGTCTGTTCTGCTTTACAGGGAGGAAATGGTTGTTTGATTCAACATTTAAAACCCCTCAATAAATAACTTCTGGGTATGGAAACAATGTTTTGTTTGTTTATGCTACACCTCTAAACACCACCCAGAAACCATCAAGCCCTGTTCTCACGTGGACTTTTGTTTATTTGCAAACGTTTCGTGGAAGTTTCTGCATTTAGGACGTTTCTCAACATGTTCTGTTTCTTTCTTCCAGCGTATCCCACTGATGAACAGAGGGCAGCTCATTGACGACGCTTTTAACTTGGCGAGGTACTGTCTTTGACCTCCTCCTGGGTTTCTTCAAAGAAAGACATGATTGTCACAGATACTGAGACAGGAAGTGAAAATAAATAGTTCAGGCTTTACTTAAGAAGTAAACATTGACTCGTGGCTTTACAGATATCGTCTGTTTAAAGAAGAAAAGCTGATTGTTTAAAATAACACTGGAAGAGAGGACAACTAAGTTTAGTGGAAGTTACACTAACGTCACTGTAGGATGTTCTTTATGATATTAACTGTTGGAAATCGTAAGGATGCTCCTTCTTCAGTTTCACCTAAATATGTTTGGTTTTAAAAGCAAGCTGAAATGACAGAGCTCTCAAAAACAGACCAATCTGTTTTCCTCAGAGCCAAGCAGGTCAGCGTGACTCTGGCTCTGAACTCGACACGCTTTCTCCATAACGAGATTGCGTACCTTCCCTGGGAATCAGCCATCAGGAATCTGGAGTACTTCATCCTCATGTTTGACCGCTCCGAGGTGTATGGACCCATGCAGGTTTGTCTCTTTAAAACATCTTTTCTTGCCTTGTTTGGACAACTAAATACCATTTCTGTTTAATGTTTAGTCAGTATTGAAATAAAGAGAGATGGCGAGGAGTGGAGTTGTACTGCTGCCCAGTTTCCAGTTAAGCTGTTTGTCTCTGCAGGTTTACCTGCGGGAACAAGTCAGAGGACTTTATAACTTCTTCAGGAACTACACAGACAATTCAACGGTCCCAGAGAATCACTCCTTACAGTAAGTTATTAATTTTCATAACTCTGGAGCTGTTAAATATCATTGTGTGCAGAGCTTGATGATCAACAGATTTACAAATCTGCGGTTCTACAAATCCAATAATCCATCCACCATCCATGGCATGCTTTGTGAGGTTTTATAATTCAGCTTTAAAGTGATAATTATTAATGAACTACAGAAACCTTTCCCAAGCAGTCTTTTACAGTAGATGGACAACAGGAAAACATTAAAAAAAGTGCTTTAAAAATGTTTTATTCATCCATATACGTCACACTTTATGGGTTTTGTAAATATTTGATTTGGCTTTGCGACAAGACGGTTGCAGAAAGACAGCTAATAGATACATGATTAATTCCTCTATAAACACTTTATAAATCATTAATAACTGCTTATTATGCATTAATTAAGGGTGAGAGAGAGAGAGACAAAACTGACCAGTTTCTTGCCAAATAGTGAACCAAATCTGTTCACATATATATATTTAATCTACAGTTGTTATATTAAACATTTCAGACTAAATTACTATCTTGTAAGCACAATAGGCATTTAAAAACCTATTTCTTTAGCATATAATGTTGTACTTTATCACTGCATTATAAAAATCTACAACTAATATTATATGCTAAAAAAAATTGGTTTACAAATACTTATTGTGCTTAAAACTTAATTTAACAACTCTAGATGAAATATATAGGTGAAAAGATTTGGTTCACTATTTGGCAAGAAACTGGTCAGTTTTGTCTCCGTCACCCTTAATTAATGCATAATAAGCAGTTATTAATGATCTACAAAGTGTTTATAGAGGAATTAACGTATCTATAAACTATGTATTAGCCATCTATAAGGGGAGCCTTATTGTAAAGTGGTACTGTTGAAATTAACCAATACTTAATAAATTAAACTGAATAACTCTAAAGGAATGTTAAAAGTATTTATTGTTTCGATTTGTTAATGTATAAAAGATTGAAAGTTGATTTTTTAAATATAATTTCCTGGACAAAATGCACAGTTTGATGAGCTGTACTTAAAATTCACTCAGGTCTCTCTTGGAAAAGGGATTTTTAATCTCACTGAGATCTTTCTGGTTAAATCAAGGAGATTATTTAAAACAACAAAACCCCCAAAATCTAAAAAAAAAAAAAAAAAAAAGTTGTAATTAAGACAGTTTTATTATACAAACCTTGTTTTTATGTGTTGTTCTCTAGACCAAAAGTGGATAAAACTGTATTTTATCTATGTTTTTATTGCTGAAGCCTTTAAAACCAGCTTGATTAGAACTGAAATCATTAATTTACATTATTTAGTTTCTCTCCTTTGAAATTCAGTCAAGACTTTCCTCTCAAACACAGTGTCTCGTCTGCGTTTTTATACCTAAAAAATTGTGTTTGATCTTCAGGCACAACCAGATCTTAGCCATAAGTGTGGCCTGTGCCCATGGACTCCCAGAATGCATTGCGATGGCGACAGAACAGTTTGCTGGCTGGATGAAAAGCAACAGCACGGAGACAAACAAGTATGGACGGGGATAAGTATCTTTTCTGCACCTGACTTTCTGAACATCTCCTTTAAAAATCCGTCAGTGTAACAGCTTTCCTTGCATTCTGTAGCTTTGCTCTTCAGAAATGATTTGGTGAAGGTAGGTTTATTCTCACTTTTTGTTGTTCGTTTCAGCTGTTGTGTTTAAAGTTGCACTCATTTGGACTTTTAAGCTCTGAATGAAATGTGTTTGCTGCATGTGGCGTCTTTACAAGCTTGAAATCAGTGTTTTTCTGCCCGCTGGCAACTGGCAAAAATGCTTTAGGCTGTTTGAGTGTGCATGTATGTGTTTGTTCTTCTGTAGTTTTAGTAAAATATTTTATGTGTGAGCAGACAGATTCATATGAAAGTTATCACTGGGTGTACGTCGTAAACTGATTAACTTTAGAAGTCGGCTAAGCGAACACTATAAAATGCAGAAATGTCTCAAGTGCAACCAGTTTCACATGTTTGGAGATAGATTTTGATGTGTTGGGAGCTGAGTGAACACCTTTTTAACTGATCACACAAGATTTGTTTTTAAAACACTGTCATTATCCGCCCGTTGAAAGGCGGAAATATTACGATTATTATTGTTTAGTCTCCGTCTGTCCATCCATATGTTTTTCCATTAAAGTTCTCTTCTCTTTCGATTGCTCGGCAGGTGATCAGAATCTGCTGGTTTGTAGTTTGACCGGCAGGTCAGACACTCACAAACCAGATAGTTTTCTTGCTCAGTGAACAGCTCTGACTCTAACAAGCTCAAGGTCACAAATCAAGGTCAAATGTTTTACCAGGTTTTGTCCTGTCCGGATCATTGCTGTAGATTGCTGTATCACTTTATAATAGTTTGTTGATGGCTGTACAATGTGCCATGTGTGGTACTTTTGTTAACTATTGGGAGTCAAATAGTGTGTTTGTTAGCAAAATATGTCATGAACTAGTAACATATTTTATTAAAACAATCAGAAAGTTGTCATTGGGTGTACGTCTACACCAAATTGCCCTTTGGAGTCAATTTAATTCAAGATGGCCACCACAGCCAAATGAGCTTAGGAAATAAAAAATGCTACAACTTAAGTCAGTTTTATGATCTATAACGGAGTAGTAGCCAAGAGTCATACCCTGTAAACAGTGTGTGGTACACATTGAGTGCCATTGTTCTTAAAACTCTGGCACCAACTGTTACAGCTGTCTGTTAGCAAAATATCTCATGAACCACTGGACAGATTTTAGTTTGAAGCTTTTTACCTGTACACGTACAACTCATTTACATTTGGAGTCAAACAAGATGGCTGCCATAACTAATCAACCTCAGCCAGCACAGAAATAGCTCATACTAGTTTTACAGATTATCAGCTAAACATTGGTGTGGTAGTAACTGAGACTGATCTCAAACACAGACTCTGAGCTCTAACACACTTCACAAGATCTCACGATGCTGCATGAAGTTATGAATGTCGATTCCAAGGTTGGATGAAAATATAACTCCGTCCACTGTCACCATCAAACAATGTTAGTTTAGGACTCTGACATGAACGGTGGTGAGAGACATGACGTGCGTTTCTTCAAGGAATGCTGGGCGTTTATTTGTGTCTATGCTTGTCAGTGTGTTGCACAGTGATGTTTGTGAAGCATAAAAAAACATCCACTTTTTATTTTTACATGTTTTTTTGTCGTCTCATTCCAACTGATTGGCAGCAACCTTGATGAAGAAGAATATAAACCCCACGATAAACGAGGGAATACTGTATATATCAATGTATAAAGGATTACTTGTTCAATTCTAGTCCAGAAAAGCACTCATCTCGTAAACAATAAAAATCCACTATTCAAATCCTTCAGCGTCAGGGGACATCGGCGTCTGCTTGTTTTTTAATTATTTGAGTATTCCAACACAGGAATGCATCGCAGCCATTTTTATACCATTACAGATTTATATTAATTCCTATTATGAGTCATCAAAGACTTGAATCAGTTCTTCCCACAAAAATCTGATTGGATAAATGATTAAAAAACTGCAACAATTAAAAAGCCTCTGAATTTGTTTCGAGTAATTGTTGTTTAACACAAATACAAAGCTGTGATTTTTCTTTACGCAGGCTTCAAAATGTCTGAGTGGGTGGGAGAAAAACACCCTAAAAGTATAAATAGAAATGTTCTGCATGCCTGTGAAGGAGGTTTAAAATGGAAAAATGACGAGCCGACCGCTCAGCATAAACAGCAAGAACGTAAAAGTGATTCATCCCTCCGTTAAAGCGTTTCATTGTGTTTGTGATTTAGCATCCACACCAATCTGCGGTCTGTGATTTACTGCCAAGCTGTGGCCGCCGGAGACAAGAAAGAGTGGGAATTTGCCTGGGAGAAATTCTTGAACTCCAGCAACACCTCAGAGAAAGAGCAGCTCCGAAAAGCTCTGGCCTGCTCGAAGAAGACCTGGCTGCTCAACAGGTGAGTGTGACGACGTCTTGACACGCCCACAACAAGGTGAAGTCCAGTCAGGCACCTTCTTATCTTACAGATACCTGGAATACACTTTGGACCCGAAGAAGATACGACTGATGGATGTTGCTTCTACCATTAACTACATAGCTCAAAACGCTGCTGGACAAGCTCTGGCCTGGAACTTTATCAGAGCAAACTGGAAATACGTCAGTCAGGGGTAGGTTGAACCGTGTCTGCTGTCAAATGAGTTTTCTGTGTCACGAACATGTGTTCAAAGAAAAAAAAACACTGATCAGCCTCACAGATTAGATGATGTAAAATCTAAGGTTTCAATGCCACTTTGTCAGCATCAAGGGGAATACAGAACTGGGAAGCCAGGGATCCTGACACAGGTGTCACAAGTCCTCAGAGAAGGACCGGTCCAAGTTTCAAGTCTGTTAGTAGAGGTTACCACAGCGTTTATTTACCCCACCCATTCATTACAGGCAATAAGACACAAAGTCAACAAGATAAAAACAAGTACTGTAAACATAATCAGTATAAGGAAAAAACAGTACCAGTCTGACTTTATAAACAACCAGTTTTCTGACTTGGTTCACAAAAAAAGGGTAAAGTTAGAAACGATTCATCGATTGCTCGGCAGGTGATCACAATCTGCTGGTTTGTAGTTTGACCGGCAGGTCAGACACTCACAAACCAGATAGTTTTCTTGCTCAGTGAACAGCTCTGACTCTAACTAGCTCGGGAAATGTTCGGTGCTGAAAGTTTAACGGAATGAGAAAAGACTCAAACTTAGCAGACGCTAAAAATGGAGAGCTAGAAGAGTAAAGGTGGCTTCTCACTGGGATGTGACCATTGACTCAAAGTTGTTAAAAAATGAAAAATAAATAAATAAGGCAAAGTTTCCTTTGCAGTCCCACTGAATTCTGTTTGCAACCAGCCACGCTTTGAGCGGCCACTTCTTACAAAACGGTATTCTAGCATGTTATGTTGCCCATGTCGTACACTCCTCAGCTCCGCCCCCATGTTTATGGTTTAATCTACAGAAGTACACTTTAGAGACAAAGACAGGCAGATTTGAACCAGTTAAATAAATAAATAAATATTATTGATCCTGTGATGGACTTGCGACCTGTCCAGGGTGTTCCCTGCCCCTTGCACAGTGATTGCCGGACAAGGGCACCGGCGACCCCCATGACCAAAAATGGAATAAGCGGGTAAAAGATAATGGATGGAAGAATAGATGGAACTATTATTGATCATCAGTGTGTTTTCTGTCCAAGGACAGAAAGTAAAGAAATGAAACTAAGAAAGGTTTATAACTTTGTTGCATCATTTTTTTAAATATACTGAAAATTCAAACGAGCAGCACATTGTGGCTCAGTTGATAGAGCTGCTGCCTCTCAGCGAGAAGGCCGCCGGTCCGAATCCCTTTCTGGGTGGAGTTTGCATGTTCTCTCCGTGCATGCGTGGGTTTTCAACGGGTACTCCGGTTTCCTCCCACATACAAAAACATGCGTGTTAGTCTGATTGGTAACTCTAAATTGTCCCTAGGTGTGAGTGAGAGAGTGAATGGTTGTTTGTCTCAATGTGCCCGTGATGGACTGGAGACCTGTCCGGGTGTCCCACGCCTCTCGTACAGCGATGGCTGGACATGGGCACCAGTGACCCCGACGACAAAAAAGAAGATGTTTTCTGTATTTATATGCTGTTGATTAATGTTCCAAAAGAAAAATTTTAATCAGAACTTTACATAATTCAGAAATCACAATCGGCCTAAAAAACTTTGGTTGATGTGTGTAAAATTCAGTTCTGTGCCAGCCCAGGTGGTAGTTTTGCCGTATTAAGAATTGGATCCAGTATCTGTGGAAAAGTGTCTTGTTGATGTCAACGCTACAAGCAACATCTTTGCGGATGCTTTCTACAAATAAGGACACTGCTGGTCTAACATCAAACTCAAAATGATGAATTAAACTTAAAAGTATTTATATTATATACAAATAACATATATAATAAAGCTTGTCAGCATTTATTACTCTAATGTTAAATCCCACATTGTAATTAAACTGATATTTGGTTTGTACAGAATTAATATGGAGAAATAGAGTTGTGTTGAAGCACCTTCAACATGAGGATGTGTTGTCTCCTGACCCACTTTGAGGCGCTGAACTTTCAAATAAAAAGTATTTTTTTCCTGTGGCTTCCTGTTGTCTCTGGTCACTTTAATGACTCGTGGGTACAGCAGAACCATAAAAGAACAAATACAGAGGCTTCCCGGTGATCCAGCGCTGTGTGACAAAGCACAAAGGTCCCGTGGTTTATTCAGTGCTTATCATTAGCGCTCCATCATAAAGTCTCCACTGTTTATGCTGTTTCCAAGTGATTTTATCAAAGTATAAACATTAGAAGAGCTTTCATTTCATAAATCAACACATGAAGTTTATCTAGAAGAAATTATATTTAAAACTAGGGATGCATGAAATTGGATTTTTGGCTGATATTTGATATGTTAAAACTTATTTGGTCGATAACCGATACCAATACAGATATTTATATATTTAGCCAAGGTTCTAGAAAAACTGATAAACTCTCAAATCAAAAATTACCTGGACCCATTTAACATTTTACCTCGCCATCAATCTGGTTTCAGGAAACAACACAGCACAACGACTGCTTCACTGAAGGTTCTTAATGACGTTGTTGAAGCACTGGATGCTAAGGATTATTGTGCTGCTCTTTTCTTAGACTTGTCTAAAACTTTTGACACTGTGGATCATAACATCTTGTGTCATAAGATCTCAGAAATCGGTTTCTCAGAACACACCATTGGTTGGTTCTCTAACTTTCTCTCATATCGGAGGCCATGTGTTCAACATAATGGTACTTCCTCCAGTTAGTTAACAGTCAACAATGGTGTACCTCAAGGCTCAGTCTTAAGACCTACCCTCTTTACAATCTACATAGTTAATGTAGGTAAAAACATCCCTGATGCATCCATACATTTCTATGCTGATGACACAGTTGTTTATTGTTGAGCTAAAACAGTTGATAAGTCTTTCCAGCTTTTGCAATCTGCATTTGACATCATCAAGACTGATTTGTTCCACCTCAAACTTGTCCTAAATGCAGACAAAACCAAAGGGATGCTTTTTTCCAAACAGGAAGTCGGTCCCAGCAGTTCTTCCTTCGATTTTATCCTCAAATCGTGTCCCCATTGAGTTTGTTGATTCCTATAAATATTTGGGTATCTTTGTCGACTCGCATCTCTCTTTTAAGCTCCATGTGGAAAACTTGGTAAAGAAACTGAAAGTTAAACTGGGTTTCTTTTTCAGAAACAGATCCTGTCTAACCCTGAATGCTAGGAAACGCCTTGTATCTGTGACTTTCCTTCCCTCCATTGATTACGGTGACATTATTTACATGAACGCTCCTACAAGAACCCTGCAGATGTTGGATGCTGTCTATCATGGTGCACTAAGATTCATAACTGGCTGTGATTATCGTACCCAGCACTGCACCTTGTATTCACTGGTTAACTGGTCACCATTAACTTCACGCAGACTCTCTCGCTGGTACATTTTCATCTTAAAATCACTTCTTGGTCTGCTGCCTTCATACATCTCTTCCTACATGTCTCTGCATGAGTGCAGTTACAGCGTACGCTCTCAGGACATTATTACCTGCAGTGTTCCCTCAGTGCAGACTGAACTAGGCAAAAGGGGCTTCTCCTAATCCGCTCCCGTTTCCTGGAATATCTTACAAAAAGACCTGAAGCTCTCGACCTTGACCTTTAAAAATCTGTTGTACTCCTGGCAAGGACCAATGCAGACATGTTCCTGTTTTTAGTTTTCTACATTCGCCGTAGAATCTAGCTGTTTTTGTTACATTTTGCCATCCTATTTGTTAAAAAAAATATATATGTATGCCTTTTTATAAGTGTTTATTGTTGTCGCTGTTGTCCATTGTTGTCATCATTCTTTGTTGAAATCAGGTCTCTCTTGTAAATGAGTCCTCGAGGCTCAATGGGATTTACCTGTCTACATAAAGGTTGAATGAAAATTTATTTTTCCGTAGATCGTCTTACAGTGACTTCATAACTTTCTCTGCTGTGGAATTAAAATACATTATTCTGCATGGTCTTTGTCAATTTGGCCTGCTTCCAAATGCAGATGACAAAAAGGGGGCTGAAAATGATGCAACAATTCAACTTGGATTAAGTTTAATGTCAAATTTATTCATGACATTTACGCTCTCTAACACAATGACAACACTTGGACAATGAAAATTTGTAAATTTTCACAAATCTAAACTCAACGGTGCACGTGATGTCAACATTGTGCAGGCATCCTTGTCACTGGGTTGTCATACAATAACAGTGCCTTTTTATTTACATACACACACATATCTACCTATATATCTACCTATATATCTACCTATATATCTACCTATATATATATATATATATATATATATATATATATATATAT